GAGTAGCATTTGGGATGCCTTAGGGGGAAGAGGCAGCGTGGCCTATTAAAGGGATCTCCTGGGTGCCCCAGTGGAAGAGTGGGGAGGGCAGCTGGCCTTCCTGGGACAGTGCCCTCCTGTGAGGAGCCCTTTGAGCCCTAGCTCCTGAGAGGGGGGACCTTGTTAGTGGGATGTGACCTCAGGGCTTAGCAGAAGTGACGCTCAGTATCTCAGAGAGGAGGGAGGGCCTACAACATGTCTCCTGCCTGCCTGGTGTCACCAGCTGGCACCTTGAGCCCTGGACAGTGAATCAAGGCCCCACCGTGGGTCAGCAGGGGCCCTGGGCAGGTGGCTTTACCTTTGGGCACTTTGGCTGCCACCTCTATGGGAGGGAGTCTGAATCGGGCCTCAGGTTTGGGGTCGCTAGGCATATGGAACAATTCATGGCACATGGAGAGAGCTCAGTGCAGGGAGCAGTTCACATTGGGACAGCCTGGACCCCTAACAGAAACCATGACAACAGCCGTTTATCCATCACCGACTATAGACCAGGCGCCTTGTCAGCACAACACTGTATCATCAGGTTGAATCCTCGGCTCTGTCCCCACTTTGCAGACAAATACGACAATCACAGGAAGTTAGGTCATGTGGACGTGGAGTGCAGAATCAGCTGGGAACCCACGCAGTCGGCCTCCAGAGTGAGTGCTGTGATGCTGCGTGGACCCGCCTAGTTGTCCCTCATTTCTCATCTTTTCCTCCTTTCCCTCCTTCTCCCTCAGGGTCCTGAAGGAAAACCAGGGAAGCAAGGCCAGAAGGGCCGGACCGGGGCCAAGGTAAGATCCCCCCATCTCCTCCTGCCATGACCCACCCGTGGCCCCCACCCTCTCCCCTCCTCTCCCCCTCCTCCCACCAGAGGCCTGGTGACGGCCTGTCTCTCCTCCCACTGCAGGGTGCCAAGGGCTACCAAGGACAGCTGGGTGAGATGGGAGCCCCTGGAGACCCCGGACCCCCTGGCACCCCAGGCCCTAAAGGGTCCCGGGGCAGCCTGGGACCAACGGTGAGAACACTGGGTGGGGTGGGTAGTGTCAGTCATGGGCAGAGGGGCCAAGGGCAGAAAGGGAGGTCTCCCCACTCCAGCTGTCGGCTGAACCCCTGTTGTCTCAGCCACTCCCTTTGCATCACGGGTCCCTTTGGGGGCTGCAGAAGCTGGAAGAGCGCACACAACAGTCTGACGGGTCCTGGCCTCCTGCAGACCTGGATGAATGAGCCCTGCTTCATCTTAATTTAATTAAACCAGGCTCTTGGGTGTGCTTTTCTTAAACAAGGAGGTTCCCCACTGGTAACAGGATCAGGCGAAGCTGCTGCGCTCTCTGGGTGGCTCTGATGCTGTCCCAGCCATCGCTGGCCCCGGGGGTGACCGCTGCAGCGGGAAGGAGACCCTAAGAGGAGCAAGGGGGGTGGCAGACGAGGGTGACCCACATCTCTGAGCTGCCAGTGTGTGGTCAGCAGCCGTGCTGGCCGGGGCACTTGCCCGTGTCCTGGTGGAAATGCTGCCACCAGGGCTGAGTTCACGCTGCCAACTTGACGTCATGGAATGTGCGGTCGGGGCAGACGCGCAGGGCGCACTGTTAGCTAGTGTTCCCACCACACAGACGCTAACCTCCGAGCTAGTGTTCCCACCACACAGACGCTAAC